CTGAAATGTTAGTCTGAAGTTGAAATGTATGAATGATGACCTTACTGAATTTTTGTGCAAAATTGATTCATTAGAGGCAAAAGTGACATTTTTAGCTTTCGACTTGAATTCAATTTTTTGACTCCCGACTGAACAACACTGTGCTTTATACATTAAAAAAAATTATGAATTTCATTAGCTAAGTTAAACGCAGAGGTATGAGATTTTTGAAAGTAACAGACCCCGGTTTACAAGGTTGGACCAGAACGATGAATGGATAGTGTAATATTGGACCAGGACTTGCAGCCTGCATTTGCAGTTGCGTACCCCAGTCAGGCATTCTCTAGGCTCTCTTCTGTTTTATTCTGTGTCGCCTTAGCCAAGGATCACAGGACTTCCCGACAGAGGACAGGGCCTTTCCTTCTGAAAATCGAAGGATCAACCGCACATGTTTAATGATTTATAAGAGTGAACAACCAACGCAAGTCTGTTCCTAGGGGATAGCAACCGTTTTGAATATCCCAAGAACTGGAACGAATCAAACTAGTCAGTTCGATTCCTTACTCAAACCGATGTTTTCCCGTTCCAAATCAAATCTTTCTGGTTTGGGCTGCCAAATTTTCGAAGTCCATGCTTCACTATAGCTACCGGTTCGGCTCCAAAACCTGTTTGGTCTACTAGAACCTATAGCCGGTGTCCCGCATCATTATCCAAATCTGTATTCGATACCATGATTTAAATTTAACAATTCAATTATAATTATAATGTTACATAAAATTATAATTTTAATGTAATATTAAATGAATAATATATCATTAAATGAATAAATAAATTTATAAATTACAAGTTAATCCCTAAATCAAACATACTATTTATATAACATATTATATTATAAATTTATAATACTACGTATATCATAATTATATCATTTCGAATTTAAATTTGTAACCTATCTTTTTTTTATTTTTGACTTAACCCAAAAAAGGAAGAAACGGTATGATTACCGTCTCGGGTCCAAAACCTGATCAGCCTACTCGAACCTATAAAAGATATCATGACTCAATTCTGCAAAACGATACCATGTTCCAGATTTGCAACCTGTCCTTTTTTCTTTTTTCTTTTACTTAACCAAAAAAGGGAGGAAATAGGAAGGTATACATCCCTGTATATTAACTGGTAATTGGACTACGAAAATGGCAACAATATCGTCAACAAACCTAAAACCTCTGTATCATTTACTCCAAAAACCCTCAGACAGCAACATTACCATGTTGCTGTGTGAGGAAATGATAAGAAACAAATTTTCCTCCAATTAAATTAAGAGAAAAATCATTTTCTTTCCTTTTCCTTCATTTCTCTCAATCCAAACACAATTAGTTTCATGAGTTTTCCAAGCAATAGTTCCATAGAATACTGCAAATATGCTACACTTAGAGATCAAGCTGTATTAGAGTGGTCATAGTCATACCGGTTAAATCCAAGTGCTCAGAAATCTTTGCTTCAAGGCTGTTCCTGAGGTTCGACCTCCCAGAATGCTCATTAACAGTGGGCTTGTGGTCCTGACGATCTTCAGTTGTCATACTATCAAGTGGAAAATCCTTAAATTTTATTGCGAACCAGCTGAAGCACGAGGTTTCCCCTTTGTCGAATTCAGGTGTTGGGTCACAAAGATTACTCCCATAACCACTAAAAGGCAACCAACCAGTGTGCTGAAGAACAAGGCACCTGGTTGCCTAGTTTGGACAAAACCATAAATGCCATTGGATGTCATGACAATGATGTCTGTTAGCCCATCATTTGAAAAGTCCTCAGTGATGAAGAACAAGGCACCTGGTTGCCTAGTTTGGACAAAACCATAAATGCCATTGGATGTCATGACAATGATGTCTGTTAGCCCATCATTTGAAAAGTCCTCAGTGATGAGGGCATGGGTGAGCAGAGCAGGAAGATCAACAGACGTTAATATGCTACCTCCAGGTGAGATTACTACTGCTTCTTGGTCTCCTGCTGCCAGGATCATCTGTTGATTGTCATGGGCACGCAAGGAGAATGCCTTCAAGGTTGGGACCACTGTTTCGGCTTCCATCATCCCTGATGGAAGGATTTGACCATGTAGCATCCAAAAGAGCTGCCACTGCCAAACAGCATCATGCCCATGCAAGCCAGGAGAGTATGCAGTTACCTGAAAAGATTAGTACAACAAAAGTTGGCAACTCTCACATAAATACCCAGTAACATGCCCATGGCAAGCCAAACTAAGAATGTAGCAAGTATAATATATGAGAAAATGCAAACTACAATTCACAGGATTGCATAGAATACTACCCTGTAGTGTCATAAAAGAAAACATTCATGATCTTAGAATGGGATGCTTGTACAAAAGCCATTTGTCTCTTGAAATGATACCCTAAACATAATTTTTTTTTTTTTTTTGAGAGCCAGGATTCAAAAAGAGATCCAAGTTCAAGGTAGCCAAAGTATCTAAATATGTCAAAATAACATCATACCTCCCCCTCGATTTGTTAGGAAGATAACATCACCATGACTCCCTTTACGATGCCTCTGCCCATCATTTCTTGGAATGAGAATGGGTGTTGCAACCTCTAAGTATGCAACATCTGTATTTCAACCAAAATTTCCGTAGAACTCTCCATGCTGGAATAAGTTAAAAGGAGAATGATGACAAATAGAAGCATTAAGGAGTTGCTCGCAAACTGGTACACCAGATGTCGCCACAGCCCAACAAGGTCGTAATACTTCCATGGATCCGCTAACAACAGTCTGTTCAGCACCATTTCCTCCAACAGCCTGAGAATGAAAAGTATTAAGTCATTTAGCACCTTTATCTTACCAAATTTCCTGCTAATGTTATTCAGGTAATGCATAAAAATTGTCAGTGCATTTGGATAATTTATTTCACACAATTTTTGTACCAAAAAATGAGCTTAATTATACTGTTAAATTCAAGAGTGTACACATTCAGTGTTAATATTTTGCAATCAGCATAGACAGCATAGCATGTCACTATAATCCAGTTCAGATGATTATACATTTCAAATGAGTCATATGACACCCCAGACCAAAAAAATGTAAAGCCCCCAAAATCACCGCATACAGCTAGCTATAATCCGGATCAGATGACTACACTTTTGGAGAAGATGGTCACATCCCACAGAACGTTGATGCAAACCAGCCTACGAAAGGTCAGTTGAGATATGCTAATCCATTTTTCTACATTAAACGATAAGGAACAGCCCAGCATTTTAACAATGTTCGAGATATAAAGGTAAAAAGGTGCACCAGGACATGATCTAGGACCCCATCTCCATTAATATCAGCATGAAGACCACCTTCTTGGAGATGAAGCTGATGAAATCAATGAATTTCACATTACTCAGTTGAATATGCTAGAGCTGATATCTCATCTCAGATTTATAGCATGAATATAAAAGCTTGACTAACAGAATATTGAATTTCAACCACGTGTATACGATGATCAGACTGACCTAGTGAACCTGATTTATAATGAGGAAGCCAAAAAAAATATACAAAAAAAAAAAAGGGAGCTTGGTTGTGGGTTTGAAATTACCTTGCGTATAAGTCCATCACTTGCCAGATGAACAACTTCTATCCCTTCCTTTTGATGAGCTACAACAACATTAGGAACCCACAAAAAGTTGGTGTGATTTGTTATGGTTGGAATATAATTAGTGGGCTGCATCAAAAGAGCAAACTAGGATGTTACAAGGCATTTATGTGATAAACTTGCAGAGGCTTTTGTAATTGGTACTCTCTTAGGGTAATAGTCCACACAGTTGGTGCCACTGTAAAACTTTGTTGTTAGATATCTATTATGGCTTAAAAGAAATAACAAAAGTGAAAATTGAAAAACTAAAAACTAAAACCCAAGATAAACAGAGAAAAGCAGATGAACAAAGAAAAAGAAGGCTGGCAGAATCAAATGATTGTTATCCCTTTTCCTTTCTTCATCACATTCATAAAACCATCATATGGGATCCTGGTGAATATGGAAGCAACTTAAAACCAAAACATCTTCACATAAACAGTGTTTGTGAATGGAATGCCATAACAACTGCTTGGCTCTACGAAGAAACTACCTCCTTATTTTTTGCTGAACCCGCAACCTAAGCAGCTTCTCCAATCAAGTTTGAAATTTTTTTCGTTGAGTCCTTCCCCACAGGATGGTGTTCCTCAGGCTTGTGAAAAGGGTACGTTGTTTTTTTTCCATCTGCTTTCTTCAATGTTTTCCATCTGTGTCGCTTGAAGTGTGCCAGCTTCAATATGAATCTTCTCTCCTATCCTGAAAAAGACACATGTCACAAGAATCCTCAAACATTTTTAAGGAAAAAAAAAAAACTTAATAATCTGCATAAGTGTGGCATCTGTACACTAACCCATTGATGTGGCATAACTCCAAGGACTGATTATCTGACATCCCTACATGCAAGCTACAAATAAACTTGTCTCAGTTTGCTTACTTTATGGGGATCATGTCAATTATGGAAACAGACAATTCCAAACTACTATTGTCCCAGTCACCCAGAAATCAACTAGAACACAATATTCTTCTTAAACACAATGAAAATAGAAAGTGCTAAGCACCAGAAGTTAAATAAGATGCAAAGCTCTGTAGTCTGTGAAGTTGGTGCTTCATGTAGCCAGTGAGGGATTGGACTGGTATTTGTATTAAAAAAACATAAATAAAAACCAAACTGAAAGGAAATGGCCAAATATGACTTCCAATATGACCATGAGGAAATTGTTATAAATGCCATTATTTTACCTCTGAAATGAGTAAAGGAATATGTCAGGATAAAGTAATCATGTTATACACATAATTCCATACATAACTATAGTCTAAAAATACCTGTCCTGGATGACGATCATTCAAAGCATGCGCATTGAGCTTGTAGTTGTGCTGCGGAATTAGCTGTAATGGATCTGATGAATGGTCTTCAATATTCTAAATAAACAAAATGACCATATTAGCACCTAGAATAGACAAGATAGCTTATAAAGTATCAAAAAATGTTTGTAAATCTGATGCCAACAAAAAATGCACGTTCCTAATTTCATATACAAGCTGCCAAACCCATTACACCATAACCATATATTTTGAATTGTTTCGAGCACTCTTCAAATTTTTTGAGCATTTATCACATGGCATACAATTGTAGTAAGTGTAGATTAATACAGCAGTTTGAGCAAAAATGTAGCTGGCCATGTCAACATAAGCACAAACACCGCAATCTAGAATTGTGAGTAAAGATGCCTGATTCTTACTCCTCTCACAAAAGGTCCAATTGGATAATTAAATGTACAAAAAAACAGGTCTTACTGAGGCCTCATGTGCATGTGTTTCTAGCAATGGACAAGAATAACTAACAGCTTAAGCAAGATGGCGGTGCCTCCTGGGAAGACTTAATAGAACCGTTGAAGAAGTGATGATTGATCATATAAGACAAACAATATAAAGACAGAATAAAATGTAAACTAAAAGTGACAGAGAAACTTAAACAACAAGTCAATACCTCACTCTTTCTACTCCAACAAAGTAAACCACTTTGCCCAGCAAATGCATAGAATGCAAAATGGTGTAAATTCACAGTGCCAGAGTTCTCAGAAGCCTGCACAGGATGCAAAAGACTACATCATTCAATGATAAAACTAGATATGATGTGAACTAGTCAGTAATAATGCTTTACTTTCACTTACAAAATAGTACAATAACCATCAAGTAGCTTGCTTGACATAGGATATATCACAGAAAATTTATATGTGGGATTTATATCTGAAACATTTATTTTAAATCAATGGATCTAAAATACATGCATTTAGACATTCATTTTTCAAGATGAAATATACAAACAATGAGTTTGAAAAACTAGTATTTGTAAAAATATTACTTCAAATTAATTGTTTCAAATACAAGGTTAGAAATACCCAGTAATGTAGGCATATTAGACATTTCATCACATACACAGATTTAAAGTTTATGATATGCATAGGTTTCAAATCCACTCCTATTTGTTAAAATGAAACCAAACAATGTACTTGAAATTAGAGGTCCAAATTCAAATACAAAATCATACCAAATGGACCAATATAAATATTTAAGACAGTTGACCCATAAGAAAATAATACCTCCTTTTCGCTGGCACTTCTTCTATGTTTCTTGGCATTTGGCTCTTGCATCCCAATCTCTTCAAAAGGATCTATGTAAATCTGAAAATTGTACTGACACTTATTAGCACACTGTAGAATAATGATGCAAAAAAGTACACTGCATGCATGGAATCTTCTCATCAAGGTTAATAACTCATACAGATATAAATTAGTTAAGTAAAAGAAAGTTTGGTTCCTATATTGTTAAAATTAAAGAGTTCTCAACTAGGACACCAACCAAAAAGAGAATGAGCGAGTGACAATAGCAATAGAGATCTACTAGCTGATTAATATGGCATTCAAAAGAACACCAGAACTTAGAAATGAAATCTAATACCTAAATAGTGAATCATCTAAAAAAATGAAGCCACCATGAAGAAAGGGAAAAAAAAAAAAAAAGATAAATAAAGAAACAAAATGTGTGAGATGTTTTTAACACCCACAATTACTTTGTGAAACAATACATCACCAGCTCACCACATTATCCAACTCCAAATCACCACTTGGTAGATTTGCAGAAAATAAACTCCACAGAAAATAACTTAACAAACATACATGTGGTTGCATTTCCATTCTCCCGCCAATGATGACAAGTCCTATATCCCCATGTTTCAAAGTGTAATTGCTTATTGGGATTGCTATTTCTCTGTGGTGTGCATTATGTGGAAAATCCTCCTGTCAAACAACATGAAACCAAGTAAAACATAGAAAAAAAATTATTTTCTCGGATGAATGAAAATTTTCACTAATTCTGCCACATCTAAGCCAGCTACCAACAAAGCAACATAACAACATCAAAATTTAACTGCTATAGAAATTATTTTCTATCTTCGTATTTTCCGGGAAAAAAATACATTATAACAAACCTGCAATTTATTTTCCCATAGCTTTTTGAGGTTATGATCGAAACACATAACGGACCAACCAGATGCGACAACAACCAGAACCTGCTTCTGCGGTTGCCCCAGCTTATACGTTCGATCTATAACACCAGTGGCCATGGACACAGCACGTCTACCAGTCGTTACCCTGATCTTAACAGGCAACAAAGACACCTTTGCCAGCACTCGCGCTTCTCTGAATCCTTCATGCACTCGCCTTGCATGTGGCTCCAGTACCTAGCACCGCAAGCATTCGAGTAAACACATAAAAGGTACAGTAAAAGGAGGAATACGAATTAGAGAGCTTAACTGTGGTGGAAAGAAACCTGAATTTTGGCATCGTGCGTGGCGACGAGGACTTTCCTTCTTTCCGTCGGCGTTGAGATCGAGGCGGAGGGAGACGATCGGAAACGTATCTGATTGGATATTAAGCTGATAAGTGGAACCACGCTTCTCGAAAAGAGAAATCACCTTCGTGCTTGAGGAGAGAAATGGAGAAGAAAATCGGTGAGATTCGAGGTACGAAAATGAAAAGCAATTGAAGAGAGAAAACCTGAAGGGAGAAGAAAATAGCGAAAGCTGAAAGCATTAGAATAGCCAAATCTCGTTTCCTCATTGCGGAATCTCGTTGACTTGCTACTGCCTACTGCTGTGTTTGTTGACGATGACTAAATCGTCGATTTGCAGCGGCAGATTCCAGTACTGATAAATTTCAGATACGGAACTGAACAAAATTTGTGGGATTCGGCTGCTACTGCCTACTGGAAAGTATATGATAATTAAAAAAAAAAATTTGGACATTGGTTGGGAAAATTTTTTATTAATTAATTTTTTTTCGTAATTACATTATCTATTATGAAACTTATAATTTATTTAGTTACAAAAATCTCATCTTCTTTTCTTTTCAACCAAAAATACCCTCAGAAGCAGCCAATAAGGTAGTAAGCCTTTGTTTTTTTTTTTTTTTTTTAATTAAAAAAATATAATATTAAGTTAGTATTTATTCAAAAAAAATCAAATTTAAAACTCGACCTATGGACTAAAATGCATTCCGCCTATTTTTCATTTTAAGAAAACGTAACAAACCACTGCGGTGAGATGGGGGATGCAGGTAGTAAGCCTTTGTTTGGATTGAAAGATTTGAAGAGGAAAAGAGGAGGCTGAGGGCACATGTCTCCCTTGCTTTATTTGATTTTTTAATTAATAGAGAAGGAGGGATCTGGAGGAGTGATGGAACCTCTTTACTCTTCTTTTTTATTTTTTTTAAATTAAAGAATTTATAAGAGATTTGATTTTTAAGTATAATATTTTTTTAATTTTTTAAAAAATATAAATATTTAGAATATTTTTATTTTTATTTTTAAGTAATAAATTTTAAATATTTTATTTTATTTTTTAAAATTATTTAATTAAATAAAAATATTATTTTTTCTCTTCTTTACTTTTATTTATCTAAGTAAAATTAATATTAATCATTTCTTTCCCTTCACTCCCTTTTCCCTCTCCTTCCTTCTCTTTCTTTAACTAATTTTTATTCAAATATACCTTAAAGTTTTGCTCTCAAACAAAATTTGATATATATAAAACAAAAGTGTTATATTTATAATATTATATAATATTATAAATTTATAATATAATTTATTATTATAAAAC